TCGTCACTAAAACGGCGACCTTTTTCACGATTTCTTGAAATTCGTAGTTGCATGTCGCAAAATAGAACTACGTTTTTGTTCAGGTGTGCCGTCTTTCTTAATGGAACATTTTTCAATGCAAGTTGAACTTGTCACAAACGTAATTTAAAGTTACGATTACGAAATCGCTATATAGCAAGATTTCGTCGTAGCTGTTTCGTGGAACAACGTAAAATCTTCTCTTGCGTCGTCATGATCATCCGTCGTTATTGTGTGGGATTGGGATAGGACTTGTATATAAAAATTGACATATATATAATAATGATCCCTTTATTTCCCACCTATACAACAATATAATATATCAATATTTCACGAAACGATGTAATACTAAACAAGTGGGAAATACCAAGGTGTAGTTCAACTGCTGAATGCCACTGACATACAGCCATATTATCCATTATATCATCGATTCCACTATATCATTAATAATTTTTATTGCTCAACGGTAACATTTAATCAAATAATTACTTACGTGGTTCTTTGGATGATGAACAAATTGGAGTTGAAAGTCGCATCATTCCAACGATGCAGATGTGGCTTTATCAATCTGTGGCGCAGGTGATGGAACAGGAACAGATACCTTGAGACCTAAATTAATATTTAAATACATGAATTTTTTCATACTCAAAACGTCAGCCTTTAGTTTAACTTGCTTGTTGTATCATAATATTATATGATTTGATATTATATGATTGTATTATCATAATATTCACATATAAAAAAATTTACCTGGCAAAAACAACGAAGGCACGCAATTCTTCCTGAAATACATATTACTAGTTTTGTCAGCCTTGGTAAAATGCCTATAACAAACTCTATATGACTCGTACACACAAAAATTTTCAAATTCACTTTTTACGAATTTATCTATATTTTTTATAAATAAATAATTTGTAGAACTGATTAAGCGGGTTTTAATTCTAAACCCATCAACTAAAGTATATATTTAAGGTCTTTGCCCACTACATCGTTTCATACTAGGACCTAACGTGTCAAGCACGTAAGAAAACGTTCCGAACACTATTATGCCCACTGCAACGAACCAACAGCGTTCTATTCTCGTATGAAATGAGTATTATGCCCGTATGCAACGCGTATTATGCCAGTGTATGCAAACTGTAGATGCCCTGTTCGGATCCCGTTTAGTGCAGCACCAGATCTGTTAGCTGTTGTACGTTTTTGCTGTTGCGCCTACCTGCGGATAGTATCAAAAAAGCGGTAAAAGTATGGCTATTAGAAAGTTATCTATCAGACAATTCGCAATGATTATTTTGGATGAGGAAGAAGAAGTAACGCAAAAACAGCGACGACGCACAGTGGTCTAAATTCGAAAAAACCCGAACAAAAATATTTTAACGCAGTTTGGGTTGAGATAATTTTTTGAAACTTGGTATGTGGCTATAGGACTATATGCTAAAGACTTTGTGAACTTTTGGATCAAATATGTCAACCGGAAGTACTAATTTACTTGAGGCCACAGTCTATTTTTTTCATATAATTTAGGTCCTTAGAATTGAATAAATACAAAATTTTATACAACGCTATTAAATCGTGGAGGATAGCTAAATACAAAATTGTTTAAACTAAATTGGTTATATAGTTTACTTCGATGTAAGGTTTCTATAAATAAATCTTTAACTACAGAGTGTCTCACGTATCTGGTTCGTTAGAACTTTTTCAGGTTCCACTATTCGTACAATTTTGAAATTTTGGTAACATGGGTTGTTCATTCGGAACTTTCAATCTAAAATATTTTCAAGATGGCTGCCACTTCCGGTCTACCGAAGTACACCATAACTTCGTTATTTGAAATGGAATGCTATAGTTTTTATTACACCGTTTGAATGTATGTAAAAAAAATATGTAAAAATAATCCAATCGTAATGGGACTAGGAAGACACAAATAGCGAATCATCTTTACCCTCTGCATTTGTGATGAACTTTTGTTTATAAGTCGAATGACATCCGCTACCATCAAACCCCCACTTACAATATAATATAGAATTTACATTTACATTTGGATAATTATCCAAACATTTAAAAATTTTTTTTTAAATATCATTTAATAAAACTGGTTCGAAGTGTTTCTGAAGAAGGTTGCAACATGGCATGCGAAACGTCAAACCTTTTCTTAAAAGACGCACGGCAAAACCCGAAAATTTCTAGTTGTAGGTCTAGTTTCAGTTTTAATTTTAGTTCAATTAACCCCAGCCGTGAAAGCCTTCGTACTTATAAAAACAGTAGATATTTCAAGTGTTTCAGTTTTTTGCCGCACTGTAACAACCACTTCCGGTTGTTAGATAAGCCTGAAACTGGTATTCTATTATTGTTATGCGAGTTTACACCAAATATACGAGATTTATCTTTTAAGAAAAAGAATATAATCAAGATAGCAACAACGCATTGTCTTGAAAAAGTGGAACACAATATATTTTCTTCATCTAAAGTTGTAGCATTTTATGATATTATTTAATACACAAGAATTGTAGTACTGCTTTATTGCGTACAGTTGGCACTAGAAAGTACATAAGACTTTATTCCTTTCACCTCTCAGTCTATTAGGACCTAAAGTACATGTAGCATGAAAAAAAAAATTTCGAAAATTTGGTTTTCGTTCACATTTTACCGCTTGTGGACCACTGTGCGACGGCACTGGATTCACGATGGTCTAAAAGAACGACAAGCTGAGGGAGAATACTGGACATTATTTAGACACAAATTTTTCAGCACTTTCGAATGTCATCATTTCAAATTTCCTTCCAGGCTCTTTTCTTTGAGTATCCATATATTTTGGATGTTGAAGGTTATACAAAAATTCGTATTTACGAACACATTCTATTAGTTTTTCGTCCTCCATATTTAACAAGGTTCACATCTGCTGCAGTGTTCTAGCGCGAAAGGAATAGTAAAACAGATGTTTGCTGTTCGGGGAGTAAACGCAGAGCAAACACGGAGCAAACGCGGAGCATGTGCGGTAACCACCCGGTTGGGCCGATGCATATCGGTGCGTGCCATGCACAGAACGTTTTGGCATCTGCAAAATATTTCTCCCTAGGAATTGCTGTCGGGCCGGGCATGGCACGGTACGGTGTTGGCCAGTGCCGGAACGGTCCAGTGGGCATTGCCTCATAGTAATTCATACAAAGAATACTTTTTTGCATGTGTCGATACGGTTACGGTCATGCTATGATACGGTGTAGTGGGCAAAGACCTTTATCCGTATATATCTAACAATTAATAAATGCAATTTTTATACATTTGAGGTTATTAAATGTAATTCAAACTTACCTGTATGTTGTTCTAATAAATGATCCACAAGGAACAAAGAGTCTTGAAAAAGACTGTTTAATATTCTGTTCAACAAGATAGACGAAAATAGAAAATGGAAGAAACGAAAAGTAAACTCAACCTAAGACCACACTTGACAAAACTGTTAAAATCTGTCAGATAACAAAATGGTGGAAAACTGTCAAAAGTACGCGATTTGAAATTTGAATTAACCTTGAATTGTGCCTAATTTCGTTCTACATATTACAAAATTAAAGTCCCTAGATTTACAAAGTACAGCGGTTTGACGCCATTTTGGCTCGAAAGTCAAGCGGGAAATTTAAAAAACTATGTTATTCTATTGATAACATTACGCCAAATTTCTTTTCTTTTTTTCTCGTGGTACTCTGAAGAGTCGAAAGTCCTAAATATTTTTGTAAATAAGTGGTGAGATGCAATGACAAGTTGTCAAACCGCCGTTTTGGCTCGAAAACAGGCTTCATGAATAGCGGTACTTTGTAAATCTAGCGACTTTATACAAAATGAACGGTTAGCGCCATCTACTGAAATAGACTAATACTAATAACTGATTTCACTTGTAATGTATTGAGTTGAACCACCCTGCAATAGACTTCATCTAAAAAACAAGTCAATTTTTATTATTTTTTTTAATATATGTGAGAATAGCTCCACATATTTTGGTGACCACGACGTGATTAGAATAAAATACATTAAATTGTCACCACATATTTTGATGACCCTGACAAGCGACTACGCCTACAGAAGACAATTTTATACCCACGCACAAAATAAAAAGTTATTTTCACTAAACTTGTTGAAATTACAACATATTTTCGGATGAAAACTTTGTTTCTTAGGCTTTCGATGCATAACCACAATTAAATGTCGTTAGGATAGAATTGTTTCTACCAAATGTGTAATAATAGACTTTGTGTTAATAGATTGTGTATCAATTGATCTGTCAAACGACTGAAATATCTTTATCTTGTAAATATAAATGATAAATAAGTATAGTAGCTTATTTAATAGTAGTTTACTTAATAAATAACCCGTGTGACGATAGCAACAAACCTTCCAACAACAAACTTTTACCCGTAATTTCCTATCTATTTTATTAACTGATATCTTTCTTATTATTAGAGATAGCCGAAAACTAAATGCACCATTTGAAAGCTTGATTCTTTCTCTATGAAATCGTCGATATGTTGATATTAGATCAATAAAAGATGAAGAACTCTGTTTGCTCGAAAACGGTTCGGAAATAAAATAAAAGGTACTGATTCAAAGAAAAAAAGGAAGATATTAAAAGGAAAAGACCATGAATAAATTATTATTAATTTCTTACGTTATTGTCCCTATCGCTGTTCCCTATCGCAATTTCGACACTATATCACAGTTTTTATATATATTATAATAATGCATAACTTATAAAAATAATTTTAAAAAGTCGCGTTACAAAGGCGAAGTCAAAAATATGTGTGTGTGGTTCGGGTCGAGCCGTAATTCTTAAATTTTTGCTAAATGCCCGCGCTGCGCAGCCATTCCACCCACCAAAAAATATTAATTTTAATTATTTATTATTATTTTTTTTTTTATAAGGAAAGTGTTGTTTATTTTATTTTGGCAACGGACAAATTTTCACTACTGGGCGCGTCAAACGACCAGTGCAAGTTTTTAGGGTGACTACTCTGACTACCCCGTCTTTTCCGGGGTGAATTTCTTCAATTCTTCCAAGGTCCCATTGGAAAGAAGGTCGGTTTTCATTTTTAATCAGAACCATATCTCCGACGACGGGATTGGATGAAGATTCAGTCCATTTAGTTCTTTGTTGAAGTGTGTGTAGGTAGTCGTGTTTCCAACGTTTCCAAAAATCTTGAACGGTTTTTTGTAGAAGCTGCCATCGATCGAGACGACTGCAAGGTACCGTGGATAGATCAGGATCTACAATACAAGAATTTAATGGTTCAAGATGTAAAAAGTGACTTGGAGTTAAGGCTTGTAAATCGTTTGGATCACTTGACACGGGAGTCAAGGGTCTTGAATTTAAAACCGCCTCGATCTGTGTCAAAACGGTATACATTTCTTCAAAGGAGAGCACTTGACTACCAATAACCTTTATCAAGTGAGTCTTAACTGACTTTACATTGGATTCAGCTAAACCATTAAAATGTGGTGCTCCAGGTGGGTTGAATTTCCATTCTAAGCCAAGTTTGACACCTACGATTTCTGCCATTTCTTTCAAACGATTATTACAGCCTATAAAATTGGTCCCTTGGTCTGAGATAAGTATAGAACATCGTCCTCGACGGGAAACGAATCGGCGAAGTGCTGCTAAAAAGGCATCAGTGGATAAACCTGAAACAAGTTCAAGGTGAATGGCCTTGGTGGCCGTACAGACAAAAACACAGATATACGACTTGACAGATTTAGAACCTCGACTTCTATTTAATGTGGTAAAAACAGGTCCTGCAAAATCCACTGCAGCTTTGGAAAATGGTTTAATTTCTTCGATTCGGAACTTAGGGAGATCTGACATGACTGGTGCGTACGAACGTGGTTTCATCTTAAAACATGGAATGCATCTTGATAATACACGATGGATTACAAATCTTGAGCCCATGATCCAAAATTGTTGCATCACCAATGATAAGACAGTTCGGTATCCCGGATGCAAGAACTCACGATGAACTTCTTCCACAATTAATTCACTTAGTCGCGAATTCCGGGGCAACAACACTGGATGTGTCTGATCGAACGGTAACTCAGATTGTTTTAATCGTCCACCCACCCTGATCAACCCGTCACGATCGACAAATGGAGATAATGAATGAAAGGGTTTAGGAACTGGTTTATTGTAACGGATAGCGGTGAATAGAAAAGAAAAGGTTTGAGTTTGCACATGCTGAATCAATGAATATAATGCACCCTGTAATTCAAATGGTGATAATACCATAGAAAATGATTTCTTTTTTCGTTGGCAATGAAGAATGAATCGTTTACAATAAACAATAATACGTTTTATCTTAGATAAAGAAGAAAAACGATTAAGGAGAGTATCAAAGATATGAGATTCAATCACAATAGCATTTATGAAAAGTTGTCTTTGTTCCTCTATTGTGTCTTTCGTTTCAGCAGTCATAGATGGACTAGACGGCCAATTATCGGAATGATCACAGAGCCATGATGGGCCCTGCCACCAAAGATCGGAATTGATTAATTGATCAGGAAACAATCCACGAGAACCGCAATCAGCGGGATTATTTAATGACGGAACATGTCGCCAATGATTAATCGGTAAAATTTCTTGTATTTTAGTGACACGATTTGCCACAAAGACCTTCCATCTTTGAGCAGGAGATGCAAGCCAAGACAGCACGACTTGGGAGTCTGACCATGCATAAATGGATTCAAACTGAATTTTGTGTGATAAAACTTCATTGATATGTTCAAATAACTCAGTAAGCAGAAGAGCTGCACAGAGTTCTAATCGAGGAATAGAAATAACCTTTAGAGGAGCTACACGAGCTTTAGCACAAACAAAATGAGTATAACATTTGTTTTCATTAGTTGTTGTTCGAATATAGGCAACGGCACAATAACCTATCTGCGATGCATCGCAAAATAAATGTAATTGAATGCTGGTGGGATTATCAAGGATCATAGAACGGGACAGGTTAAATTTTGATAACAATGGGAGTTTGGATTTAAACATGTTCCATGAAGTCTTGATAAATTCCGGAGGGGAATCATCCCATGACGTTTTCAATTGCCATAGCTGTTGTATCAAATGTTTGGCCTTTAATGTGCACGGTGTTAAAAATCCTAAGGGATCGTAGATTCTGGCGATCTCTGATAGAATTGTTCTTTTTGTACATTGAGTAACACGGGCTGTATATGAATAAGTAAATGTATCCTTGACTGGATTCCACTGCAAGCCCAGGACTTTGACGCAATTTATTTCTTCACATTCGAAAGATATTGTTGATAATTGATCAGAAATAGGGACAGACGATAATACTCTTTCATTATTACTTGCCCATTTACGAAGTTCAAAACCACCCTTTTGTAACACCATTATTAATTCTTTTTGTAACTTAAGTAGATCATCGATAGTGGAAGCACCGGTGACGATATCATCTACATATATATGATGTTTTAGTGATTCAGAAGCCATTGGAAATTCTTGTGAATATAAATTGGACAGTTCTAAAATTGTGCGAAGCGCCAAAAAAGGTGATGAAGCAAGCCCATATGTTACGGTATTCAATCGATATTCTTGGATTGGTTTATCAGGAGATGATCTCCAAATGATTCTTTGGTAATCTCTGTCTTGGGGCCTATGAAGAATTTGCCTATACATTTGTTTTATATCACAAATGAAAGCATACTTAAAGCATCGAAAATTTAACAGAATTTTCATTATATCTTGTTGTAGTTTTGGGCCGATAAGAAGGTTATCATTTAGGGATTTCCCATTTGACGATCGCGCTGAGGCGTCGAAAACTACTCTTAGTTTAGTGCAGGCACTTTCTGCTCGTAATACACAGTGGTGTGGAATATAGTATGCTAAAGGAGATTTAGTAGACTCACCAGAAATGATACTCATGTGTTCAGATGATATATAATCATTCATAAATTTTGTATAATCGTTTCTCAACTCCACATTTTTGGAAAATCTGTATTCCAGAGAATGAAAACGTTTTAAGGCAGTTTGATAGGAATGGCCCAAGGATGGTTTATCACTTTTGAATGGCAAAGATACAATAAAACGCCCTGAATCAGCACGCTGGTATGTACTCTTGAAATGGTCTTCACATTTTTGTTCCTCTTTAGACAATGAGGGTTTTATAGGAATAGATTCCATCTCCCAAAATCTCTTCAGGCATTGATCTAAGGGATTTTCAGTTGTTGAGAGACAAGTTGTCAACGAATATGTTNAGAAGTGGAGTATCGTGGGTACATACCTCCAATCACCAATTCGCGATTTCTCCAATATTCGCGAAATTCGGTTACCCACGATTATTTATTTTTATCTGGTGGGCGCTGGTTAACAACAAAATCTTGGTTTTACGTTTCCATAAACTTTATTATTAATTACACTTAAACTATACATATAAATTGCGATTAGTTGTGGCGAGAGTTATATAGGGAGCCTTGCTCCGCGTAAATTGAAGGGGTACTGTTTCGGTGTGTGTTAAATCGAAGACTGATCTGAATAACTGATACGAGTTGAGCTCGCAGGCTCCTTCTTTATTTAAGGTCATAACTAAAAATCCTTACCTAAACACCGAAATATACACCCCAACGCATTTCCACACTTATCTCAACCCAATAAATAATGCGATAAAAAACCCTAATCTTGCGACTCGAGACACTTCAAATCCACACTAAACATATGAGGCGATACAAATAAATCCAATATAAATGAACTAATATTATAATATAAAATCTAACACTCCCCGCCTTGAAAGAACTACCTTTCAACAAATAACAACATAAATTAACAATAATGACACTATACTTCAAAATGTATGAAAAAAAAAATCGAAAAATTGAATTTACACGACTGATGCCCGTTTGCACCGCAATAGTTAAGCGTCGCTTTACGCTAAGCTTTCCTTAAATTTTTAAATCGGTTTGCACCGTTGTTTAAGCTACGCTTATTCTCAGCTTAATTTAAGCGTTCAATGTTCGGAGTTTACCGGTTAAGCGTAGCTTTAAATTACGTGAAAAAATTTATTTGTCATTGTGTGACGTGAAAATTGTGAAAACATGGATATTTTTGACGACGATGAAGATATGTTTGGAAATGATGCAGAAATATTAGAGATTGTTGATTATGGATTTCCTAAACGGATATATCTACGGCGCAATCATTTTGAAGATTTGGATAACCTTACATTTTTTCAACGATTTCGTTTAACAAAGAATACTGTTTTAAACATTTTACCACTAATTGAAGAAAAGCTTGAATATCCTACAGACATGTACGTAAAATATTATGTAAATAATAAATATGTAATTAATTATTGATTCTTTTTGTAGAAATAACAGCTTAAGCCCTATGGACCAATTATTAACATGTCTACGTTTTTATGCTACAGGTGGACATTTGTCAACCATATCAGATTNAAGTTAAATCCTCCGCCGTTCAACACAATTTTTACATTTTTCGCTAAACGAGTAACTTCGGTCAACGAATTTGCTCCCGTCAACAAATCATCTACGTAAAAATGTGAATTAATAACATCCGCGATGACCGGGTCCGCGCATTCTGAACTTAATTGTTTTAAACACCGAGTCGCTAGATAACTAGCCGAAGACGTTCCATATGTTATCGTTAATAACTCGTACGTATCGACGGGTGAATCTTCCGAATCGCGCCATAATATGCGCTGAAATTTCGTCTGCTCAGGATTGATTAGACAGGCACGGTACATTTTTTGAATATCCGCTGTAACCACGTACGCGTACTTCCGAAAACGTATTAAGGCGCTAAACAGGTCAGGCTGTAATATGGGTCCCACCACCTGACAATCATTAAGTGAATATCCCGTTGATGTGGGACATGATGCATCGAAGACGACCCTTAACTTTGTAGTGGCACTATTTTCATTTAATACTCCGTGGTGTGGTATATAATAACCCTCGCGCGTGTCGACAACCTTTTTCATATGACCTAACTCCAAATACTCTCGCATAAATGCATGGTATCGCTCACCGAATTCGCGATTTCGTTTGCATTTTCGCTCGATACCCATTAAACGATTTTCAGCGGTTTTATACGATTCGCCTAACCGATCTAAACTTTCCTTTAGCGGTATCGAAACAATGAATCGTCCGTCTTCTGCACGTTTAGTAGTTTTGTTAAAATGATTTTCGCAAAATGTTTCATTTTTGGATGAGTGAACTAACCCTTCAATCTCCTCGATTTCCCAAAATCGCGCCAACTGCTTGTTTATTACGGAATTGTCATCCTTACAAATTAAATTGCACCGCACCGAATGTGCCGCGCTCGCTTGTATCGGCCCCGAAACGATCCACCCCAAACGGGTGTTTTGCATGATAGGCCCTTTTGCAAGTTTGATTTGCCCAACGCATAACAAATTCCAAAAATAATCAGCCCCGATCAGCATATCTATCTTATCGGATTTATTGAACAAAGGATCCGCCAAGTGAATGTGTGTAGGTATTTTTAAAGTGTTTGCGTTTATTTCAAAATTGGGTAAATCATTCGCAATTGTTGCTATAACCAAACAATTAACCCTAAGTGATAAATCGGTGCAGTGTGTATTCGCAATGAACAGGAACTCGTTATTGTTGACTGTGTTTGATTTATTGTTGCTACATTTACGTTTGTTGCTGTTCTAGACAATCTTAACCGCTTGCAAGCTTCTACCGAAAGAAAACTACTTTGACTGCCTGGATCCAAGAGTGCGCGTAATGAATGTTTTTTGTTATGTCTGTCGAATGCGTGAACAGTTACGGTGGAGAGTAAGATGTTTGAATGATTTGCATGCTGTGCGAAATTTAGACTGTGTGCTTGGGTGGATGTCGTTGGTTGTGGTGGTGAATCTGAGCGATCGTGCGTCAAATGAAGTAAGGTATGATGACGAGAATTGCACCGTTTACAAGAGCTCGAACGGCATTGTTTAACAAAATGTCCCGACCGAAGACAATTCATACACACCTTTAATTGTTTGACCCGGTCTATACGGCCCTGAACCGTAAGTTTAGTGAAATTTGAACATTCCTGTATGTAATGTTCCCCATTGCAGTTTACACAACGCTTAACACCCGAATTAGCAACCAAAACCGTTTTTGATTTCGGTTTTGATTTATCGATTATCCGCTTACCCGAACCGTTTTCCAAAGTTTCCAATAAATCAGCGCGTTCTTTCAAAAACCCTAACAAATTTTCTAAATTCGCTTTCTTTAAACCGGACTTTTTCCTTTCCCACTCCCGATTGGAATCAGCGTCCAATTTCGACACGGCTAAATAAATAAGTAGCGTGTCCCAATTATCCGTAGGTTCATTTAATGCAGCTAACGCGCGCAGATGTTTACGAAAGTCGTCAATAAAACTTCGAATCGGCTGTGGATTATCACCCGAAACCCCTTCAATTTCGAACAATGCCTTAACGTGATTATGAATTAATATCCGCGGGTTATCATAACGCTCGCGAATCAACCCCCAAGCGACTTCATAGTTAGAATTTGTCAATTCTAAGCTTTCGATAACCTGACGAGCATTACCGGTCAGTGCCGACAGTAAGTAATGAAATTTTTGAATGTCGTTGATCATTGGGTTGTTATGAATTAATGATTCGAAAATGTCTCTAAACCCTAGCCATGCGTCGTAACCACCGTCAAACTTTGGTAAATCTATAACCGGTAGCTTTACATGTNGGTATCGCAGCCGTTCACCGCTTTTTTAGACCAATTGCAATCTGTGCGCGACCAGTACCCTTACGACGATTTGTTGATTGTCGGTGATTTCAACATCCCTAATTTGTCCTGGCGACTTTCTCCGACGGGTCATCTCATCCCTTCTGGCGCGTCTGACATCCGATCGAATGAACTATTGTCTACAATTTCGTATTGTAATCTAATTCAATTTAATAATACTGTCAACCAAAACAATAGAACTTTAGACTTAATACTTTGTAACGCCAATATTGTCGATAACGTTCGCGCCTGTCCGGATGCGATTGTCGGCTTGGATGACCACCATCCTGCAGTGGAATTCGAGTTGCGCATTGAGCCTGATCTTAACTTAATGGCCCTTCCGGCCGGCTATCGTTTCGTAAGGCGGACTTTAAAAATATTTGTGAGAGCATTGATTCTGTGAACTGGCCCGCGAAATTCCTTGGACTGGGGGTGGATGAGGCGGTTGCGGTTTTTTACGGGCATTTGAATCGAATAATTTCCCAATTCGTACCCCGGGAATTGCCTCGATCCCATCATTTCCCTACTTGGTATTCTAGCTCAACTATTAAAGCAATTAAGGAGAAACTTATGTACCATAAAAAATGGAAAAAGTGGGGTAATAANTGTTGTATTTCGTTGTAATACATAGTAGCGAGATGTCGGCGATTCTGATATCTGCCCTTTAAGGTGGTATAAGCAATGGTGTAATTGTCTTCCGTCACTGGCAAGCCTTTTATTAAATTCAAAGCTTCATCTTTCAACGAAGTCAGAAGGTATTGATATTTTGCTACTTTGGATAGAGACTCGTTTTCATGAATCATGGTTCTAAATAGATCAAAGAATGTAGGCCAGGCTTTGTGATTCCCATCAAAAACGGGTATCGTTAATTTATTTAATTTGGGTGTTGCAGACGGCAACGAAGAATGAGGAGTTGGAGGTGTTGTAGGTGTTAGAGGTGGTGGTGGCTGAAGCTTATAAAGATGCGCTTTTATAGTATAGAAAGCTGTATCTGCTTTAGCTCGAACTTCATCATGAGCTTCAAAGTCAGCTTCGTCGATCATACCAATTATCTGATTGTGCACAGTCTTGAATTCTTCGTATGCCTTTTCTGCATCTTTAGCTCGTTCTTGGAACATGAGATGTTGTATAGGATCGTTAGGAAGATTTTGTGCAAGATTCATAGATTCTGTGAGATGATTTAAAAAGCCAGTACGGCGTAAAGTGAGTTTGACGAGTTTTTCCGACATGATGAAAGAAAACGATAATTATATAGGGGTCGTAACTTCTGAAGGCCAAAAGCACAATTGCAATAATAATCCCAATAATTATTCTTAGGGAAAACAAAGATAATAAACCCCAAGGGGTTAAAGAAATAAATTCTAAAGTAACGATTCCACGTGGGAGATAATCTTCAACTGGGTATAAAGAAGAAAAAAAACAATTCCAAACAATATATGTATATTCTAAGGGGAATAAAAAAGAAATAATTCCAAAAG